TGGAACAAGTCGATCGGTGTAATATAGCCAGCTGCCGCCGCGCCGCGTGCCTGCGAAGCTGGTGTGTTACGCCGAAAGGCGGTTATACCGGCTATACAGATACAGATACAGATCAATTTGCCTACACTGTCAAGCTGGGTCAAGTCAGTAGGTATTGTCTTTCCGTAAAATCCACTGTTGATTTTTAACCGCGCCAGACTCGGTCGAGTCTCTCTGGACTCTTTTGCCGTTCATTTGTCGATCACATCAGCAACAGGCTGGGTCGAGTCGACAATCACCATTTTATCTTACAATTTAACAATAGTTTCTTAACTATATGACGACAACAGGTCACTTTGAGTCAGTCCTGGACTTTTTGTCCTAAAAGTTGATTACTTAAGGTAGCAGATCGCAGGTAAAACTGTTAAACTGTGTGATTGTCTGCGAGTAAATATAAATAATGAAGCATGAACTTATCTATATTGTGCTGAATAGAGATTCCTGGAAGTAATTAAGGTCCCTGGAAGTAATTAAGGTCCCTGGAAGTAATTATGGTCCCTGGAAGTAATTGAGGTCCCTGGAAGTAATTAAGGTTCCTGGAAGAGGCGCGCCATCCGCCATCCTTGCCATTAATGTGAACAAAAGTAGCAGAGTTATAATTAAGTGTTCACATATATAGCTAGTCCCCAGTAAAATCTACGTACGTCACTACAGACCCTCATTTTTCAATCGCACTAGCATCAGGCTGGGTCGAGTTGACAATCTCTATTCTGCCCGTGTTTTAACGATAATATATGCCGACAACAGGTCCTTTTAAGTCAGTTCTGACATTTTTGTCCTGAAAGTTGATTTCTTAAGGTAGCAGATCACAGGTAAAGCTGTTGAACTGTTTAATTATCTGCGAGTAATGAAGCATGAACTTATCTATAGTGCTGAATAGAGATTCCTGGAAGTAATTAGGGTTCCTGGAAAAGCCGCGCCGTCCGAAATCCTTGACATTAATGTGGCCAAAAGGAGCAGAGTTACAATAGGTGTTCACCTAGTCCCCAGTAAAACCTACGTACGTGACTAAAGTGGGATGTCGGTCGGCGACGTCGGCTACGGCTAGGCTGTGCCATCATAATGCTCCAATATGTTTAAAACAGTCTTGAGTGTCCGCCGGTGGGGGGGGGGGTCTTTCGCCGGTGTTCCGGAATATGTCAACAGTGTTCGTCGATTTTTGGAGAAAAAAATTTGGACACAAATGTTATGCGAACCCTACATGCCTCCTAGCCCTCTGCCCACCGTGCCGAAAACTTCCAGAAACATTATCCGAATACCAACCGAACATCAGCCGAACACCAGCTGACCACCAGTCGACGACCCGACTCATTTTAGGGAACATCCCCCAACCTCAGCTGACCATGTTCCTAAATCCTCATAAACTTGGACTGTTAAAAATTCCTAGCATGACAATAGTGGCGAAAAAGAGATGAGACTGTGCCCAAGAGGAAGGCAAAACGGTAAAAAATGAAACCAAGTTCAACTTTTACTTTCTGGCATGGGATGTAGGGGATCCGAGATTTTGCAAATTTCCATTTGGGACAGAGTTGGAAAATTGTTCGGACTTCGGCTAGTGGTTGGATGGTTTGAAGTAGGTTGGCAACCATTCTAGACTGGTTCGGAGAACGGTACCGTTCTAAAATGATTAGGACATGGTCGGCGCGGATGATCGGCGTGGCTTAAATCTGAACAGACTGGTCTCGAGCACTATCCTAGCCTGGTATCCAGTCTTACGTGGTTGGGGGTGTTGGGGTGTTCAGGCAGGCTGTGTCTTCGGGGCCTCTAATAGGTCCCCCCGCCCAGTGCAACAGGCCATCCCGGTCTGGTCCCGGTAGGAGTGTTACGCTAATAAGGGCGCACAGGTTTGTCTCACCGAATCTGACATGATGATGCAAGTCTCCCAGCGAGCGCCGCACGTTATATTCGGGTCATTGCCATTGAATGTGATCTGCTTTACCGGCAATGACCTTATCGGGAGGATCAACGGCACACTTAGATAAATTTACATCTGAAAGAAAATTTTGCCAAACCCAACCAGGTAGATATCTCTTCGGGGCGTGCGCACACATTCTCCGCCTTTTTTGATCGCGATTTTTTCTCGTCTGTGGTGAAAAGGTCAGACGCGCTCCCGATCAAGTACAACCAGTTCAGTTGGAGAGGCACCCCTGTTAGGACGTCGAGCTTATCTAACCGGCAGGTGCCCAGAGGATTAAACAACCGTGAGAGACAAGAAGTCTTTACTGTAAATTACTACGGGTGAGAGTATGATTTTTTTCTGAAAACCTTACCGCAGCTAATCGGGTGATTATCGGGCGTAATTAAATGATAGCTACGTACCTTCGAACTAGCTATTTCTCGAACTGTTGATGTACAGAACAAAATATACAGACAAGTAGTTTTATATTTTGTCAATGTCAACCAGGCATTCAGAATTGTCCCAGACGTACCCGTCGTCCCCGTGATCGCAAAAAGATTGTAACCTGTCGGTATTCCAGGGTTTGTTTTAGCCTCAAGTTTGTTGACAGTTGTATTAGAGGTCGTGTCGACCACAACGCACATTAAACAACAACTTTTTTTATGGACTAAACTTTAACTGTCTGCAATGCACCAGTCAGTTGGCAGCTAAACTTATAACACAACGTACCTGCAATTCCCTGATAACAAAAGGCAAATGCTAGGTTAACGTTTACAGTCTACGATTTATTTTTTTACAGTCAGCTTTCGTTAACAGTCACCATTTTGACATACAATTCAGCCCTAATTTGTAAACCAAATCTGGTCGAGTTACCCGCTATACTTGTGCCGTACGATCTGCCTTTGGTTCTCGAATATTCTAATCACTGTCAGCGCGCGCACACAATAGGCCATGACGGGTCCGTCGTCGATCTTCCACTAGCCGTGAAACAGTCCTTACATTTTGTCCTGAAAGATTTCTTAAATATGGTAGCAGATCACAGGTTCAACTGTTATACTGTTTGATCGTCTGCGAGTAATAAAGCATGAAATTCACCAGACTGGTAGATAAAGATTCCTGGAAGTGATTAAGGTTCCTGGAAAGAGCGCTCTATCGATGCATCCGCCATCCTTGACATTCAGGTGAACAAAAGGACCAAGGGTACAATCGGTGTTCAGGTCGTCACCAGTCAAAACTACACGGCTAATTATAAGGGGCGTGAGCTCAAGTACGTGCTTACAATGTAAGATGTGAAAAGAGAATATTTATGTAGCATTTCTAAAGTCAGATGCTGACATGTTAAAGATACGAAACGGTGTTAGTGTATATAACATTCACTTTTTAAAATTTAGTGTATGATCCAAGCTACTAGCATACGGAAGTCCTACGTTTGTGTATAGGGCTAACCAACGCGTACCCTGAATTCATAGATGGAAGGCAAAGTCTTTCACGACCACGTCTTCTCTACATTATAGAAACAAAAGTCACAGGTACCAGTAGATTTCTCCTGAAGTATTCAAGAATATTCTGCAGGCCAGCATAGGTGCGTCTGACCCCTTAAACATGCAAGTCTCCCAGCTAGGGCCACACCTTATACAATTCTAGACTTGTCATTCATACGGTATACGTCTGTCGTACTAAACAATATTATAATGATCTTGGGGGATGCGTCGTCGACACACCTCGATGAGGTAACTCAGAAAGAAAATTTGGTCAGAACCAACCTGTGAAAAAATGTATCTAGGGCTGCATTTTTTCCGCCTTTTTTATTGCCATTGTTTATATGTGTGCTAAACCGGGGACGCTACCGATCAATTACAACTAGTTTGAGTGGAGAAGGCCGCATGTTACAATATCGAGTTTATCCAAAACAATCGTAAGAGACAAGAAGTATTTTCCTTGAGTTTGTTTTCTATGTGACCGCATGCGTGTGACCGCATGGTTGAGTCGAGTTAACTGTCACCAGTTTGGTGTAAAGTTTCCGGCCGCACCAGGGTTAGACAAGCATTTTGTTGAGTTGACCTCTATCCTTATGCCGGCGTCACAGTGATCTCGCCCCCTCCCCCCGTCATCTTGCCCTCCCCGGGTCGAGATCTTTAATGATCTCGCCCTACCCGCAGCTACCCGCTATTGATTTGGTCCTCGCCGCAGTTTTAGATCTGTTTTATTTTGGGTCTTTTTACCATATTCTGACAAAATCTGTACATTTCGATTTTTTGTCATGGAGACATTTGCTATTACACCCAAATGGTCTATAGGTCGGCATGGATATACCTTGTATATCTGCAAACAACAAGTCATTATATCATTTTAGCATACACCTCTTTAACACTGTGTGATTTGAGACTTTTTGACTGTTTTCAGGTCAAACTTTACTGTATGGTGAGGGAGATTCATAAGAACGGAATGCAGAGCAAGAGCCAATAGACATGCAGCTTTTCTCTAGTCTTCTTACTGATTGTTTGATGGGATTTAATAGGGTTAACTGAATTAACACCTGCACCAAGCCATAACACATTGACAGTATTTTCACTTTTGTTTCTCCTTTTTCTGTGTCCTTTCCTATGAAATATATTCAATTTTTGGGGCCAAATGACCTGGCTTTAGCAGCAATTGTAACTAAAAAGTACTATTAAGTAGTTGATGGCGCGGTATGGAAACAATTGGTATTGCGGAACACGACATGGAATTTAATATTGGAACAGCCTCCTTTTTAATGAGAGTATGGACTGAAATATGCTATATTTGCTCCCTTTATCTGTATGCATTTTCATGAATAATTTTCCACCAGGGTATATCATACAAGGAGTGGAAGCTAAGGCTATATTAATGATGATAATTGTAATGAAACACAGCTTTTTTGATTATGTAGCATTGTCTGTAACGTTTTGGTTGTGTAATTTTCGAAACTATCAGGAGTTGTTGTGAACATAATGTTATATATACCTCCCGTCAAATAGGTAGTTGAAGTTGGATTTTCATAAATATATATCTTGACAGGCTAACTACAAGCCCCGAGGAAACCATGAGGTGCCTTCTGTCAGTAGTCATCACACTGCTGTGTGTGGGTCTGGTGACTTCGACAAGCCCACCGATATTGCCAAGCCCACCTTCAGGTGAGCGTGATCTATATTTAAGATTGCTTCTTACACTTCCCACTGTATACTGACGAACGTATTGACATGTTATCATCTTTAACTAACATCCTGCCATTTGACATAAACAACGCCACCGACAACACCTTATGTTCAACTATTCTCAGGGGTAACCCCTCATTGTCGTTTGTCAACAACTAAAAAATTTGATTTGCTTTTGAACTTTATTTTGCAGACAGGACGTTTTGTTTGATATAATTGATTGGTTTTGATTTGTACACCAGCTCATTATGTACCTTTGTCTTTTCCTATTATTACTTTGTTTTACTGTTTTCTTTTATATGTGAGGAGAGGGCTGACATAAGTTTCAAACTTTTTAGCCTAATCCTCAAAAAAATAAATGTGAATAAAATAAATAAATAAGTATATTATGTACCACGTCAAAAGTGAATAATATGCAACGGATTTAAAAGAAGGCCTTATGTTAGGTTCAAATGAAAGAAAAAATTATGCATCTAGATAAGACCTAATTCCTAACTACTCTATGTTTAACCATTTTTTCACATCGTTATTTCGTTGTACGTTAAGAAATGATAAAAGACAAGGTCATTCAGTATACATGTAAAATGTATTAATATTTGAAACAGTGTATCTCTTTACCTGCGATGATCGTCCCGACGGCACCTACCCTGACCCGCACGACTGCACCAAGTTTTACGAGTGCAGAAACGAAAAACATCGCGTCGCTCCTGTCCGGATGGGCTACATTTTGACATCGGAAATCATCCATACGGATGTGAAGAGCCTGAATATGCCACATGTGGTACGTCTTCTATTTACGACATATAGAAATAGCAATAAGAATAGCACCATGTATTTGCCCAACGTGTTTGAATGGTATCATTGTAAAAGCTATCTCTGAAAGCATTTGAATGAGTATTGAAACCGTTGCTAACAGTAATTATGTTATTTTATGTTGCTTGACTCCAGGCAGAATAGTATGGAATTTACCATAATAATGGAGATCTTAATAAACAAACAAACAAATAAACCGTTCTTGTTGTATACGGTCAAGATACCATGGCTAGCCTGCTGCTAGTTCTAACTGTATTATATAGTTAGTATAGAGTTATACACTCTGATATATGCATTTAGCCCCATGGGCATGAACATGCAATTAAAGATTTATTACTATTTTATGCAGCCTAGTCAAATCAAACAGCAAATTGTTGTCTGCAATACTGAGAGCTATTGCGGAGAAAGGTGATAGCTATATAATCATTCTTTGCTAAGACCATTTCCTCTCTTCATTCTACAGCCCGTTGCCCGGAGTCCAGTCACTGGACCAGTTGTAACGGAAATTGTCGCCCTACCTGTGATGATCCGAATCCACCTTGTCCCAAGGTCTGCCGCCCTGGATGTAAATGTAATCAAGGCTACGTGTGGTATGGCGAGAAATGCATCGCGGAACACGCGTGTCGTTACAAACCAAGTGGTGGGCAAGGAGGTAAGCCAAGCTTAGGATGATACAAATGCTCAACCGTTTCTCAGCTAAGTACACTGTGCTCAGTTCATCTGTTGGTATTATGACAGAAAGGGCTACACGCTTAGACCAACACTGAGTAACGTGCACATGGGACTTACCCATATTTTCGGCCGATACGTACCGTCAGCCTTGTTCGCGAAATGGACCGGGTACCCGTCTACTGCAGCTTTCGGGACGTGACGTCGGAAACACGTGATTGCGAGCAGCATAACATGGCTGTACGTGTCAGATGGCAAAGTCGCTGACCCTCTGATGCAATCACGTGTTTCCGACGTCACATCCTGGAAGCTGCAGTAGACGGGTCCATTTCGTGAACAAGGCTGAAGGTTAAGTAATTTACTCAGCATTGGTCTTAACGTTTAGCCCTTTTGATCATCTGATGAAGGTTGACGGGATCATCCGAAAAGTTATAGATTCTTCCTTGTGTTAGAACTCTATAACTATGGATTCTACCGGCACAGAGGAGCTTTTATTCGATTCGGAAGTTAAAAGTCTTTTTTGCCATCTTTTGTACTCTTAAAGGGGTAATTTGTGTCCTAGTACACCTCTAGCAGCGATTTAGCCATATGTTTGATACGTTTCTTCTGTGTTCACTACAGGATGCCCAGAAAACTCCCACTGGGACACGTGTACTGCCCACTGTGTTGGTACCTGTGAAGACCCGAGGCCACCTTGCACCAGGATGTGCACTGCGCCAGCCTGCGCCTGTAACGAAGGCTACGTCTGGCACAACGACAAGTGCATCCCAGAAAGCCAGTGCCCAAAACAACCTGGGCGTAAGAGTGAGTTTCTTTCCCTTTCTTTGTCTTTGTATATAGTTGTGCCAGCATGTGCTGCTCTAGTTTGTCTTTAGTTACAAACTTTGTGGATCCAAAAAGTCATGTCAAGCTATGCTATGGAAATGTTACATTGGTGTTTGAGTGGAAATACCTTTATTGTATTTTAATACAATAAAGGTATTTCCACTCAAACACCAATTAAAATTCATGTCATCGGCGCAGATCTGTTGTTAAACTAAATGAAACATTGTATGATGACACGTATTGAAGTGATTGTTGCGCGCTGTGTGCTAATGGTTGGTGTCCATTTTTAATTCCCCATTGTTAATTGACAGCTTCCAATCGATGAAACTAAATCACTTTTGCAGTCACCTATATAGTAAGCTGTCCAAGCTATTTCTGTTAAAAGATGCTATCAAATGCCTTGCGAAAATCGATAAATACTACAACAGCCTCTTTGTCAAAATTCCTAAGTTCTGCAACAATGTAACGCAGCGCAAGAGTATGTGATGCAGTAGATCAGCTTTAACGAAAGCTATTCTGATTAGGACGAACAATTACACCGATACGTCGATAAAGGTTAGACATACAGGTTATAAGATACGCCAATTAAAATCTAAAAAAGCAGTTACTCAAGCAACTGGATATGATTTTGGAAACGGTCAGACGTTTCAGCTAGTATCAACTAGCTTTCGTCAGTGACTGAGCCCAAGGGAGAAAATTGATGCAGGTTTATAAGCACAAACTATTGATCGATATGCAAATAAGTTGAAGACAATTTTACATCGACAATAAGACGGATTCTGTTAACCAGGCAACCTACAACAGCAATCGTCCGAAGGAGAGGATAGTATTAATATTCGGGATTGTTCTAACTCCAAGGAAAGGAGACCTTAGATCTGTGAACAATTGAAGAGGCATTGCCTTATCACAACCACTTCAAGAACCTTTTGAATTCAAACATAGAACCTGTCGCCAACACTGTCAATATAAAAAGTGGCGGACATCAACGTTAAACTTATAACAGGAGGCTGGTTAGATGCAAATAAATCAACCAATATGCACACGACGGTTCGTGCTACTATATATATTTAATAATGATGGTGCAAATATGTGTTCAATGTATTCAATTACGTTTACTATAAAAACTAAATGTATTTTTCCATCACACTCTAATGGATGGGGTTCATTTGAATTTCCCCAGGTGTTCCCGAGTGCAAGTATGGCGCCTACTACGACCCAGTGACAGGCCAGTGTGTGTGTGACCAGGATTGTGATCGTAAACTCCATCGGGTCTGCGGCTCAGACGGACAAGTCTACAATAACCCATGCCTCCTGGAGGTGGCCGCGTGTGTGAATCAACAGGACATCCGCATCATTGGCGAACCACCTTGCCCCTCTTCAGGACAAGGTGGGGAAACATTCCTTTTTTTAAGCCCTGTTCAGACGAAACCGATGGAATCGGTATTCGGGTAAATCGCGTTCCTCACATCTCGTCCACATGCGTTCCTTCCGTTCGGAATCGTGTCCAAGCACGATGTCACCAAACTTACAATTATTGCTGTTCGATGAAAAGATACAAGGTGGCCTCATATCAATTCTAAAGGTCAACGAGTGAGTGAACGGACTGCTTGCTGGTGCCTATTTCCAGGGTACCTAGGCCGAATGCCAAAGCGTGGTTCTGCCAGACACGGCGGAGCGCGTCCTAGAATGGGCACATTATTCAGTCATTACTGCTAAATAAAGTTGCTGCCGCGCACCTTTTGGTATTCCATATAAATAAAAAAACATCATCCTGCAACCTATGACCGGTTCAATATGTTACACCAGGTCCAGGTGCAAATGACCGGTGCCCTTACCTCTACCCTGAATCTCAATTGATTATTATTATAATGAGATACAACAAAGGGTTCTGTAAAAAAAACTACGTCTTCGAAAAACTGTAAATTTTTGATATGTGTCCCTGCAAATCTGACGAATTGTGATAGATTTCAGCAAAATCATGTGTAACTATTGGAGTAAAACAATCTAGATTTGAAAATGAAAGAGCACATTTGTTAAACAGTCACAAGAATTCTGGCCCTGGATGGTATTTTTTTCTTCATAGCAAAATTGAATACTTTTTTTCGGCGCGGCGTGTAAACCCTGAAAATAACGTGCAAAATTAATTTTTTACTATGTGTGTAGTTTAAGCCGTGCATTGAAATCCGCCAAACTTGAAACAATGATGTTGATATACATGTTTTCTGGTTCATTTGTATTTTTGATAACTTTCTTCCCACCCCTTGCTGTAGATAATACATTAATGATTTATACATAAAGATATATGGTTTAAATCATGCTAACAAATGTTCTTTTTCCTATGATAATTCAAACGAGTTTAAAAAGTGGTATTATTGATCTTTTCCTCCACACTCAGTCTAGGAGCAGACACAGATGCATCGTCCACTACCATCGAACGCGAGTCTCATCAGCTGGGCATCATTTTCATTAGCATCTGTATGTTCCTAGGCTTTGTCATTATCTTAATCAACATCTGTATGTTTATACAACTGAATGGGTATAGATTTCTATGATTATATGGTGGGTTATGGCATGGACAAGTTTGGGGTTGAGTGTTGAGTGTGAAAATGCTAATTATACAAGAAGTCTTAGTGCCATCCTGTTACTTTGTCGGGGGATGGAGTGTAAGGGAGCTCTGATAAAACTACCTAGTAGGGCACGCAGAGTACATGCCTAGTAACTAAAGGGTGAAATAATTTTACGGGCTTAATTGATAGACAGGTGTTTGCTTTAGTAATGCTATTATTTCTACATTCGGCATATGGTTGGCATTAGACTTATTAGCTAAAGTTGCCTTGTTAACAATATCAATCTTTAATCTTTCAATCTTTATTAAACTTGACAACTCTCAAAGTCTGAATGACATTGATCTGACAAAATAATAATATAATTAATACATCATCCACAGAAAACTTACAAATACACTAAAAACTATAAAAGAGTTGAGTCAAATACACATTCATAATCAAATATACAACGTTATTTATACATTCAATATGCTAGTATCGTAACCTAACAGGAGACAAATGTACCGTTTGTACATTTTTTTTCACATCATTTGCCCTTTTAGCGTATGAGCTAAAAGCTCCTGCCTACTAACTGCATCTATTCAGTGAAATCATAAGGTAACAGGAACTTCATAATATGTCAATGGAAAGGCCACTCTTTACACCAAACTATGGGAAATTTTTCTGCAACAAAATTTTCTGTATTTTCGTTGTTATTGGTGGCTCTCTTTTTTAAAAGGAAACGGTTTAGCTGTGCTTTTAGGAAACGATAGGAATACCATCAGGAACAAGCAAAAACCTGGTGTTACTGTTTTAACGTCCTACTTTGGTTAGCATTGATAGTCGGCAAGCGTCAAGTAAACCTCCAATGCTTTCCAGAATTAATCACAAAGATTAAGTTTCAAGAAACGATACACATACTATTGACATAAACAACTAAAAACCTTGTGATGAGAAACATCATGCATTGTTAAGCACAAGTAGGTCACCAACATCAAGAAAACCTCCGGTGCTTTGTACCATCACACAGATTAATTTTTTTTAAAGCTGTGCTGTTATGAAACGATAAGCATATAGTCAAGAAGAAGTAAGGACCTTGTGATGAAAGAACAATCGTTTAACATCTACATTGTTCAGTGTTGGTGGTTTATCTCCAACGTCTTTTATGAAAATTGTACCATCACAATGATTAAGTTTTTAAGTTTTGCTATTAGGAAACGATAAGTATATACTTTTATTACGTACAAGTAAGAGCATTGTGATGAAAGAATAATTGTTTAACATCTACATATTCTTCAGTGTTGGTGGTTTACCTCCAAGGCCTTTTATGGAAATTGTACCATCACAATGATAAATCTTCGATAAGTATATAGTTATGAACAAGTAAGGACCTTGTGATGAAATAACAATTGTTTAACATCTACATATTGTTCAGTGTTGGTGGTTTACCTCCAATGCTTTTATGAAAACTGTACCATCACAATGATTAAGTTTTCAAGCTTTGCTATTAGGAAACGATAAGTATATAGTTATGAACAAGTAAGGACCTTGTGATGAAAGAACAATTGTTTAACATCTACATATTGTTCAGTGTTGGTGGTTTACCTCCAATGCTTTTATAAAAAAACTGTACTATCACAATGATTAAGTATTCAAGCTTTGGTAATAGGAAACGATAAGTACGTGTATAGTTATGAACAAGTAAGGACCTTGTGATGGAAGAACAATTGTTTAACATCTACATATTGTTCAGTGTTGGTGGTTTACCTCCAATGCCTTTTATAAAAACTGTACCATCACAATGATAAATCTTCTAAGCTTTGCTATTAGGAAACGATAAGTATATAGTTATGAACAAGTAAGGACCTTGTGATGAAAGAACAATTGTTTAACATCTACATATTGTTCAGTGTTGGTGGTTTACCTCCAATGCTTTTATAAAAAAAAACTGTACCATCACAACGATTAAGTTTTTAAGCTTTGCTATTAGGAAACGATAAGTATATAGTTATGAACAAGTAAGGACCTTGTGATGAAAGAACAATTGTTTAACATCTACATATTGTTCAGTGTTGGTGGTTTACCTCCAATGCTTTTATAAAAACTGTACCATCACAATGATTAAGTTTTTAAGCTTTGCTTTTTGGAAACGATAAGTATATACTATTGATTTTGAACAAGTAATGGCCTTGTGATGAAAGAACAATTATTTAACATCTACATATTGTTCAGTGTTGGTGGTTTACCAAATGAATGCAGGTCGCTATGATTAAGTTACAATTATATGTTTATAAGTGCTCTTTTGGCAAATTAGTGTGTAGACAAAATAAAGCTACTACACGTACATACACATAGAACCCTCCAGTAACATCCGAAGGAAAACGACAATGTATATTAATGTTCGTTACAGAGTCTGCAGAATGGTTTTACTACCCCATCTGCCTGTAAGATTTACTTGGCATCATAAGTCATCTGTCAATTATTGAAATATGTTGTCAATAAAAGAACAAAATGTTTGTAAGTGTTAACATGTGTATGTGAGATGCCTGGAATCCAGGGCCTGGATCAGAAATGCCATCAATACCAAGCTGTCAGCGTATCATCTTTGAACATCCCAGAATAAAATACAATGTGTGGCTTTATCCCCATCTTGTGAGATATCTTTCCTTTATTTGGTTTATCATAGTGAAGAGGATCTGCATCGGTCGAAATCATAACATTTGTAACGCGGCACAGCTGCATTTTAAATGTAAAAGCATCAACGACGTCGACAAAACAGGGCAGTGTTAGATGAGGTCAATATCATTGTGCAATACAAATAATTGCACAAACCAAATAAGCACCAAGTAGGAAGTTATAATAACTTCGTATTGACAGTTAGGACATATGTTATGCTAGTCATAGCAAAGAGACTGCCTGAGGCTAGATGGCGCCCTCCCCTGCTCTGTACATGATATATCCATGATAATTTGAGTTCTTGTCATGACAAGGTCATGAAACAACACATTCCGCACCGAAAAATAACATAGAATATTCTGCAATTTGTAATATCTTTCAATATAAGACGAGGATCCTGAAAGAAACTAAAAATGCTTGCCTGATACACAAAAGGACCTAAGCAGCTCCAACAAATCAGCTTTTCCTTGAATGCATACCAGATACTAACAGCTATGTCCCACTCAAAAATCAAAACCGTAGCATGTCCTGAGATCAAAACCCTGTACCCCGCCGCGGTACCTTACAAAAGGACTTAAGTACTAAAAAATTACACTGACCTTCCTATTCTTAACCTCAATCTACCTACCTAAAATCATTAAGACACATGCACCACACCTCAATGTATAACCAAATACAAAATTAGCAATCCATATATATGGTGTACCTAAACACATAACCTCCTGACGAAGGTAATTGAAAGACAGATCTTTCTTTACTATGCTAATGATGGCCCCAAGGCTAAAATACCAAAGTAAAAAAAAAATGATTTTCTGTGCATCAAGATGTTAACGTTTATTTTTGCTAACGACCAAGTAGTTGTAAAAGTCCTGACATAGTTTTGTGTTGACCACTTTCATAGAAAACGAACCTTCATGAGTGTAATATATGTTGATATATAGTACTACTACATTGTACGAGGTGGATCAAATTATTGTTTGCTTCATTTGCTTCACAAATCCCTTGGGCTCCAAATATAGACCTCGTTAAATGCTGAATAGAGATTCCTGGAAATAATTAAGTATGGGGTTCACCGCCCTTTCTGTTACACCAAGGACAACAAAAGAAGTAAGGTACAAGAGGCGTGTATGAGGTTAGCAGCTAAAGGTACATGACTAATTATAAAGGGGACCAGGCTTGAGCATTTTTTAAAGACTGATGATGGCAAGTTAAAAAAACAACTTAGAAAAGATTTATGATTTTAAGAATTATCCCCAATTTCTAGATTGTTTGATCAAGGAAAATCAGGAATCCATACATACTCTTCTGCAGGTCTATAGCTAACGAATGCAAACCCTGAATTTATAGATGGTCGTTTCCTCTACTTTATTGAAGCAGTAGTCAAATGTAAGAGTAAGATTTGTCCACAAAGATTCAAGAACATTATACAGACCCACACGTGTGTCTAACCATATTTGTTATGATGATGCAACTCAGTCTCTCAGCTAGCGCGGCACGTTATATATGGGTCATTGCAATCAGATGTGTCTGTCTTACCCGCAGTGACCTGATCGGAAGCACAGACGGCACACGTAGGTTGAATTTACATGAGAAAGAAAATTTCACAAGAGCCAACCAGTGAAAGATACGTCACCAGGGCTGCACATTCTCCGCCTTTTTTGATCGCAATCATTCTGATCTGTGTTAAAAGGGGAGGCTACCGACCAAGTACAACCAGTTCGGGTGGAGAGGGACGCTTCGTATGACATCGAGTTCATCTAATCCTCAAGGACACAGAAGAATCAGAACAACAGCGAGAGACAAGAAGTCTCCTACATAAGCCAAGGTAAGGCTATTTCATTTGTGTAAAAGATTATATCCACACAGTACCGAGGTTCACTTTTATCGGGCGTAAATAAATCAGTCGAGTTCGACCTTTGAACTAGCTATTAGTATCTCCCGGTTTGTAATAGGGCAGACATACAGAAGAAAATATCCCGACAAGTATGGTCTACCATGATTTTGTCTTTGTCAAGAGTTTGCCACATGCAATCGTTACAGAAGTGTCTGTCGTCTTAGTGTAGTAGCCGGTCGAATTGTATTGAGTTTTTGTGTCGCCCACAATATTCTAGGTTACTGCAATTGTAGTCGAGCGAGGTCGTGTTGACAACAGCTTTTTATGAACTACAGGCCACTTTACTAATAGAGAGCTTAATATGCAGTAAAGCAGTCAGTTGACAACTACTTCCATAACACAAGGAACATGCTTGGTGTACAGTCTACCACTTTTTTCATCGTATCAGCTTCATGTTGGCTCAAATTTACAGTCAACATTTTGGCGCACCAATTCACCACTAATTTCTACCCCCACTTGGTTGACTTAGCCGGTATCTTTATATGCCTGACAGTATCTGCAGTTTATTTTCGTAACAGTGACGGGGTTGCTTGTCGTTTTGACGTATCATTTACCGATAACTTTTTAACCACAGCGACAACCATGGTCCGGGAGGGTTCACCTTTTTAGTATACAGTTCATTGCCAATTTCTTTGTTTATTGGTTAACTAGCAGATGAGTTGATTTTTCACTACTCACTCCGCCCTCCATTTTTTAACTCGCACAGGTAACAGCCAAAATCGAATAAACCGTCACCATTTTGCCTTAAAATTTACAGATAATTTCTTATCTATGCCGACAACAGGTCATTTTAGGTCAGTTCAGACCCTTTTGTCCTAAAAGTTGATTTCTGTTTAATAAGTTATTTTAGGTAGCAGATCACAGGTAAAACTGTTGAACTGTTTGTCTGCGAGTAATGAAGCATGAACTTAATATCTATAGTGCTGAATAGAGATTCCTGGAAGTAATTATGGTTCCTGGAAGGGGCGCGCCGTCCGCCATCCTTGACATTAATGTGAACAAAAGGACCAAGGGTACGATCGGTGTTCAGGTCGTCACCAGTGAGGACTACAAGACTAATTATTTTTGGGCGTGAGCTCAAGTACGTGCACACAATGTAAGATGTGAAAAGAGAATATTTTTATAGGTAGAATTTTTAAAGTCAGATGCTGACATGTTAAGATACGAAACGGTGTTAGTGTATATAACATACAATTTTTAAAAATTTAGTGTATGATCCAAGCGACTAGTATAAGGAAGTCCTACTTTTGTGTTGGCCTAATAAATGCGTACCCTGAATTCATAGATGGAAGGCAAAGTCTTTCACGACCACGTCTTCTATACAGTATATAAACAAAAGTCACAGGTACCAGTAGATTTCTCCTGAAGTATTCAAGAATATTCTGCAGGCCCGCATAGGTGCGTCTGACCCCTTAAACATGCAAGTCTCCCAGCTAGGGCCACACCTTATACAATTCTAGACTTGTCATTCATACGGTATGCGTCTGTCGTACTAAACAATGATCTTGGGGGATGTGTCGTCGACACACCTCGATGAGGTAACTCAGAAAGAACATTTGGTCAGAACCAACCTGTGAAAAAAATGTATCTAGGGCTGCATTTTTCCGCCTTTTTTATTGCCATTGTTTATATGTGTGTTAAACCGGGGACGCTACCGATCAATTACAACTAGTTTGAGTGGAGAAGGCCGCATGTTACAATATCGAGTTTATCCAAAACAATCGTAAGAGACAAGAAGTATTTTCCTTGAGTTTGTTTTCTATGTGACCGCATGCGTGTGACCGCATGGTTGAGTCGAGTTAACTGTCACCAGTTTGGTGTAAAGTTTCCGGCCGCACCAGGGTTAGACAAGCATTTTGTTGAGTTGACCTCTATCCTTATGCCGGCGTCACAGTGATCTCGCCCCCTCCCCCCGTCATCTTGCTCTCCCCGGGTCGAGATCTTTAATGATCTCGCCCTACCCGCAGCTACCCGCTATTGATTTGGTCCTCGCCGCAGTTTTAGATCTGTTTTATTTTGGGTCTTTTTACCATATTCTGACAAAATCTGTACATTTCGATTTTTTGTCATGGAGACATTTGCTATTACACCCAAATGGTCTATAAGTCGGCATGGATATACCTTGTATATCTGCAAACAACAAGTCATTATATCATTTTTAGCATACACCTCTTTAACACTGTGTGATTTGAGACTTTTTGACTGTTTTCAGGTCAAACTTTACTGTATGGTGAGGGAGATTCATAAGAACGGAATGCAGAGCAAGAGCCAATAGACATGCAGCTTTTCTCTAGTCTTCTTACTGATTGTTTGATGGGATTTAATAGGGTTAACTGAATTAACACCTGCACCAAGCCATAACACATTGACAGTATTTTCACTTTTGTTTCTCCTTTTTTGTGTCCTTTCCTATAAAATATATTCAATTTTTGGGGCCAAATGACCTGGCTTTAGCAGCAATTGTAACTAAAAAGTACTGTATGGGCATTAAGTAGTTGATGGCGCGGTATGGAAACACTTGGTATTGCGGAACACGACATGGAATTTAATATTGGAACAGCCTCCTTTTTTAATGACAGTATGGACTGAAATATGCTATATTTGCTCCCTTTATCTGTATGCATTTTCATGAATAATTTTCCACCAGGGTATATCATACAAGGAGTGGAAGCTAAGGCTATATTAATGATTATAATTGTAATGTCACTCAGCTTTTTGATTATGTAGCATTGTCTGTAACGTTTTGGTTGTGTAATTTTCGAAACTATCAGGAGTTGTTGTGAACATAATGTTATATATACCTCCCGTCAAATAGGTAGTTGAAGTTGGATTTTCATAAATATATATCTTGACAGGCTAACTACAAGCCCCGAGGAAACCATGAGGTGCCTTCTGTCAGTAGTCATCACACTGCTGTGTGTGGGTCTGGTGACTTCGACAAGCCCACCGATATTGCCAAGCCCACCGATATATGAGGAATTACCTTCAGGTGAGCGTGATCTATATTTAAGATTGCTTCTTACACTTCCCACTGTATACTGACGAACGTATTGACATGTTATCATCTTTAACTAACATCCTGCCATTTGACATAAACAACGCCACCGACAACACCTTATGTTCAACTATTCTCAGGGGTAACCCCTCATTGTCGTTTGTCAACAACTAAAGAATTTGATTTGCTTTTGAACTTTATTTTGCAGACAGGACGTTTTGTTTGATATAATTGATTGATTTTGATTTGTACACCAGCTCATTATGTACCTTTGTCTTTTCATATTATTACTACTACTTTGTTTTACTGTTTTCTTTTATATGTGAGGAGAGGGCTGACATAAGTTTCAAACGTTTTGCCTAATCCTCAAAAAATAAATGTGAATAAAATAAATAAATAAGTATATCATGTACTACGTTAAAAGTAAATAATATGCAACGGATTTAAAAGAAGGCCTTATGTTAGGTTCAAATGAAAGAAAAAATTATGCATCTAGATAAGACCTAATTCCTAACTACTCTATGTTTAACCATTTTTTCACATCGTTATTTCGTTGTACGTTAAGAAATGATAAAAGACAAGGTCATTCAGTATACATGTAAAATGTATTAATATTTGAAACAGTTTATCTCTTTACCTGCGATGATCGTCCCGACGGCACCTACCCTGACCCGCACGACTGCACCAAGTTTTACGAGTGCAGAAACGAAAAACATCGCGTCGCTCCTGTCCGGATGGGCTACATTTTGACATCGGAAATCATCCATACGGATGTGAAGAGCCTGAATATGCCACATGTGGTACGTCTTCTATTTACGACATATAGAAATAGCAATAAGAATAGCACCATGTATTTGCCCAACGTGTTTGAATGGTATCATTGTAAAAACTATCTCCGAAAGCATTTGAATGAGTATTGAAACCGTTGCTAACAGTAATTATGTTATTTTATGTTGCTTGACTCCAGGCAGAATAGTATGGGATTTACCATAATAATGGAGATCTTAATAAACAAACAAACAAATAAACCGTTCTTGTTGTATACGGTCAAGATACCATGGCTAGCCTGCTGCTAGTTCTAACTGTATTATATAGTTATTATAGAGTTATACACTTCTGATATATGCATTTAGCCCCATGGGCATGAACATGCAATTAAAGATTTATTACTATTTTATGCAGCCTAGTCAAATCAAACAGCAAATTGTTGTCTGCAATACTGAGAACTATTGCGGAGAAAGGTGATAGCTATATAATCATTCTTTGCTAAGACCATATCCTCTCTTCATTCTACAGCTCGTTGCCCGGAGTCCAGTCACTGGACCAGTTGTAACGGAAATTGTCGCCCTACCTGTGATGATCCGAATCCAGTTTGTCCCAAGATCTGCCGCCCAGGATGTAAATGTAATCAAGGCTACGTGTGGTATGGCGAGAAATGCATCGCGGAACACGCGTGTCGTTACAAACCAAGTGGTGGGCAAGGAGGTAAGCTAAGCTTAGGATGATACAACTGTCTCAGTTCATCTGTGTTGGTATACTTCATTATGATCAACAGGACTAAACGCTCAGACCAACACTGGGTAAATTGGGACTAAATTTTCGGCCAACTCCGTCAGCCTTGTTGACGGAATGGACCCGTCTACTGCAGCTTCCGGGACGTGACGTCGGAAACATGTGATTGCAACAGAGGGTCGTACGTGTCAGATAACCTGTGTCACCGACCCTCTGCTGCAATGTTGTGTTTCCGACGCAGTAGACGGGTCCATTTCGTGAACAAGGCGGAAGGAGTCGGCCGAAAATTTGGGTAAGTCCCAATTTACTCAGTGTTGGTCTGAACGTTAAGCCCTTCTTGTCATAACTACAAGTTTCGTTGCGTGATAATCTTGGATAAGACCAAAACCATAACAAATTGATGTTTTATCTTTATTTTCACATTTTTGTGAAAGTCATTGCACAGTGCAGTCCACTCAATATTAATACTTACTAATAGTTTTGTATTAAACCTCTCTCCGTGCTGATACCTTGTCGTCTGTTTTTACCATCTTTTCTAAAGGAGTCATTATTGTCTAATGTAAGCCTTAGTATCATAGTACATTACTAGCAGTGACTTAGGCATATGTTTGGTACGTTTTTTCTGTGTTTACTACAGCATGCCCAGAAAACTCTCACTGGAACACGTGTGGTGACCTCTGTGTTGGTACCTGTGATAACCCGAGGCCACCCTGCCCGAGGATCTGCGCTGAGCCAGCCTGCGCCTGTAATGATGGCTACGTCTCGCACAACGGCAAGTGTATCCCAGAAAGCCAGTGCCCAAAGCAACTTGGGCGTGAGAGTGAGTTTTTTCCTTTGTACGTCTTCATTCATAGTTGCGCTATCATGTGCTGCATTTCCTGCTCTAGCATGAATTCAGTTTGTTTAAGCTACAAACATTGTGAATCCAAGAAAAGTCAGGTCAAGGTAAACCTGAAGAAAGCTTGACAACTGGTTAAAGCAATTTCTACAACAAGAAAACACACAATGTTGTTTGCATCGTTGGGAAAGAGAGACTCAAAACTTGGGAAAACCACCTGAAGAACCTTTTAAATTCTAACATAGTACCTGCCGTCAACACTACACTGTGCCAATTGAAAAAAAAAATGGCGGATTAACGTTCAAATTAAATGTATAGGCTGGAGGCCAATAGAATTAACAAATATGCACATTCAGTAATTGTGGTAAAAATCTATATTCAATGCGTTTACTATAAAAACTAACTGTATTTTGTATTGCTGTTTTCTAATGGATGATGTACATTTACTCCCTAGGTGTTCCCGAGTGCAAGTATGGCGCCTACTACAACTCAGCGACAGGGCAGTGTGTGTGTGACCAGGCTTGTGATCGTAAACTCCATCGGGTCTGCGGCTCAGACGGACAAATATACAATAACCCATGCCTCCTGGAGGTGGCCGCGTGTGTGAATCAACAGGACATCCGCATCATTGGCGAACCACCTTGCCCCTCTTCAGGACAAGGTGGGGGAATATTCCTTTTGACATGCAAGGAGGATATTGAAGACGAATTCCATTTCATGATGTCATGCCCAACATATGAAGAAACATACAAAAGTTGATGCAATCTGTAGCTTCCAAAACTAATGTTGAATTACCCCATTGAAAACCAGATATCTTTAAAACAATATTATGCTCCTCTCATGATCTACTACGTCTCGATGTACGTTCACTTGGAAAATACATATCTGAATCACTACAAAAGCGACACCATATTGTAATGAACTGACATATCTTCTGAATTACAGAATGTAATAGTACTCAATAACAATACTGTAATAATGAATGTAATTTTTTCATCATAGCAAAATTGCACGCTTCGAATACATTTTCCGCGGCGTGTAAACCCTGAAAAAAAACGTGAAAATGGCCTTTTGCATGTGCGTGTTTCATGCCTTGATTAAGAAATCTTCTATCCTCCGTCCAGCTTGAAACAATGATGTTGATATACAGGTTTTCTAGTTCATTTGTCTTTTTAATAACTTTCTTCCCACACACTGCAGTAGATTATAGATTGATGCTTTGTACATGATAATGTATGGTGTAAATTATGCTAATATGTATATTATATGATAATTCAATAGAGTTTGATTAAGTGCTATTATTGAGTTTTTAAATATGTTTTCTTGAGTTTTTAAAGATGTTTTTTTTTCACACTTCACTCAGTCTAGAGGGAAAAGTAACAAGAGCAGACACAGATGCATCGTCCACTACCACTGAACGCGACTCTCATCAGCTGGGCATAATTTTCATCAGCATCTGTATGTTCATAGGCTTTGTCATTATCTTAATCAACATCTGTATGTTTATACAACTGAATAGGTATAGGTTTTTATGATTAGATGGTGATAATGGGTAGAGTTTGTGGTTGAGTGTTTGTGCAAATAACTTGAACATGCTATACAAATAGCCTTGCATGGTGCCTGTTATATCCTGCAGCTGGTAGCTGGGGGTGGAGTGTATTGGTTCTCTGACAAAACAACCTAGGAGGGCACGCAGAGTACATGATGACTAGTAACTAGAGGATGGATAAATTTTATGGGCTTAAGTGATAGGGGCAGTGTTCGTTTAGTAATGCATTATTACTATTACTATAATACACTATCATAATTATGAGCTGGACTTCAAAGCCTTTGCTGACTAACTAATCTATGTACTGAAAACATAAGGTAACCGGAACCTGCTAATATATTGAAAATGCCACTTTTATATCTAACTATGGGAACTTGGAATCTTAATGCATTTTTGCTGCAACAAAATCTTCTCTATTTTCGTTGTTATTGGTGGCTCTCTCTTGTTGGAAGGAAGCGTTTTAAGATATGCTTTTAGGGAACGATAGGTATAACGTCAGGAACAAGCAAAAACCTTGTGATAAGAAAACAACTGTTTAACATCCTACTTTGGTAAACATTGGTAGGTCAACCATCAAGCAAACCTCCGATGTTTACCAGAAACAATCACAAAGATTAAGTTCTAAGAAACGATATCATACATAATATTTACATAAACAACTAAGAACCTTGTGATGAGAAAACAACATCATGCATTGCTTAGCATTGGTAGGTCACTGACATCAAGAAAACCTCCAATGCTTTGTACCATCACACATATTACGTTTTTAAGCTTTGCTATTAGAAAATTAATTATAGAAGGGAAGAAGTAAGGACCTTGTGATGAAAGAACAATTGATAAACATCTACACATTATTTAGTGTTGGTGGTTTACCTCCAATGCTTTTATAGAAATTGTACCATCACAATGATTAAGTTTTTAAGCTTTGTTACTAAGAAACGATAAGCGTATGGTTAGGATTAAGTAAGGACCTTGTGATGTAACAATTGTTCAACATCTACATATTGTTCAGTGTTGGTGGTTTACCTCCAATGCTTTTATAGATCACATCACAATGATTAAGTTTTAAGCTTTGTCATAAAGAAACGATAAGCGTACAGTTAGGATTAAGTACGGACCTTGTGATGAAACAATTGTTTAACATCTCCATATTGTTCAGTGTTGGTGGTTTACCTCCAGTGCTTTTATAGATCACATCACAATGATTAAGTTTTAAGCTTTGCCATAAAGAAACGATAAGGGTACAGTTAGGATTAAGTACGGACCTTGTGATGAAAGAACAATACACATGGGTAACATCTATATGTCGTTAAGCATTGGTAGGTTACCCCAAGTGCTTTTGGTAGCTTACTTTCGATGCCTTTCATAGAAATCACAAAGATTAAGTTTTTAAGGTGTGCTCGCTATTACACGTCGTGATTGGTATAGGTATAATCTATTGTTAGGCAACGCTGATATATTACCGACCAGAGAAGTAAGTTGTGATGGAGTTCATGTGTTGAACACCGGTTTGTTAAGAGAATTGAATCCACCAGAATGGTTTTCCCTACACAACAACAACTCTTCGAATGTACACTTTTTTGTCTGATAAAGAATACGGCTTCATTTAGACCAAGTAGGCACCTGGCGATCTGCATTGTTAATCACCTGTCCCGAGCACATCAAGAACAATGTTTTTTTAACATTTAAAAGTGTTTATGTAGCCATTTTCTGTTTGATAGATATTAGCTAAATCTTTGCACTATGTGAGGAAAGTTAAGGAACAAAATCCCAAGTTAAGAAACAAGATTATTCCAGATTATTTGCAGGTAGACATCAGAAATACCTACACTATCCTGCATATGAAGTAAAGCATCGCAGCATGTTAACTTGATCTTTCTTTTTAGATCAGACCTGCGATCTTGGGGCCAAACGTGGTTTTCTTCTACTTAACTCGGCAACAAAGCCCCTAATTAAAATCCCACCAAATTATCATCCGGGTATGCCAATGCAGATCGCTATGAATAAGTTACAATTATATCATTATAAGTGCTCTTATATCAAATTAGTGTGTAGGTAAAAACAAAGCTACCACGTGTACGTACACATATATCCCTTCAGTAACATCCGGAGGAGGACGACTATGCATTTCAATGTTTGTTTCAGAATTTGTTGACTAGTTTTACAACCAAATCTGCATGTCAGTTTTACTTTACAACAACCATCTGTCAATTATTGAAATAAGTTGTCAATGAAAGAAATAAATATTTGTAAGTGTTAACATATGTGCATGTTAGATGCCTGGGTAAGTAATGCCTTGAGTACTAAGGCATAAAGATCTTCAAATATGTACATGTATCATCTTTAAACATCCCAGAATAAAATACAGTGGCTTTATCTCCATCTTGCAAGATATCTTTCTTTTGAATCATCATAGTGGAGTGGATCTGCTCAGCTGCAAAAGCAATTGATTATTAAAATGTCAATTCTGTAGAGAATGTGATATTTTGAATTCAGACAATATGGGCAATTAATAGCAAAACAACGAAGATGTCACACCTCCGTGAAATATTTGATTCTAGTTAGATTTATTTCATTGATTATTGAAATAGGTGATTATTGTCATAATCTGTTTAACTGAATATATTTTATGGGCGAAAAGGTTAATTTATACATCCGTATGCAGGCAAATCAGGGCTCTCGACACCAAACTGTTGTTTCTTTTCTCTTTTTAAATTATTCAATGCATAGAGAAGGTATATTGTCACGTCATGTTCATTCAGGTGTTTCCCGCTAGCTGGCGCTTTTACTAAAGACGTTCTTTACAGTCACCGAGTTTGTGTAAGCTAGGCAAATACGTTGTCCAACCCATATTATCCTTATAGTTATCACGAAACCAAACACTTTGAATGTGTTTCCCTTACGTACATATGTATTCAAATAGTTGCAACACACTTCAAACGCTTACTTTGAAGCAGTACGCTTTAAAAACTGTGAAATATCGTGACCTTGTAGAATCATATGAAAAAAAAGTATTTTTAGACCGAGGATATGTTCTGAGAGTTAAAGTTAAAGTACATGTAATATAACTTTCCAAAATACGTATGTATGAGCTAAATTGTTTTTTTTACCGCACTATTGTTTGATCCTTGCAAATATATACTCCATAACATGGCGGCATACTGCATCAACAGTTGGAACCAGTCCAACGGCTTCCTTCGGCAGCTCTTGGCAGCACGGGTCACTGCACGTTTGGTGCAACTGCAGGTCACCAATCGACTATTCCAGTAACAGTGAGAGAGGGGAATTTAAAACCAGTAAACCACTTTATTTCTCAACACTCTGTTTTCAATTTGTAAGAAATCAATTACACACACACACACACACCAATGGTCCAAGTTATAAGAATGAAATCCTATACCGACACTTATCCATGTTAAGTTGGATGTTCGGAGACTAGATTTCGACCGTCTGTAACATGTCCTGCACCATAATTTATATAAAATGTGAAAACCGGATGTCTTGCTGCAGTACCGAAGAAAACGGCTAGGCGCATGCACTCCTTTGATATGCCATGTTACCAAATAACATTAAGACCCGCCCACTTCTTCAGTGTTGCTAATCGTACAGAACCGTATTTCGATGTTAATTAGACTGACCAGTACCTAACCTGGGTATGTTTGAAGCCTAATTACACCACGGTTGTAAAAGCCCTTCTACTTCTGGCCCTTCGAATCATCCCCTGGCTGTGACACATAAGGGACTGTACGATATTTACCGGGGGGGGAGGGCTGGTGCAAAATGGTCCGGTAAAAATTTTTTCCATGGCCCTCCCCCCGGCTCAAAAAATTTTTCGGTGGCCCTCCCCCCGGCTCAAAATTTTTTTCA